GCTTTAATGTTGATCATTGTTCCTGTTTTGCAAGGTACTTTGTCAGTAATTAAACATTTACTAGCATGATTATTTGATTACTGTGCTCAACACATTTGTTGAATGGACGAACTGACCATGTGACAGATGAACTAGAGCATTGGATCCCTCTAAGCCTTCAGTGAACCAAAAGTTGGCTGAAAAGATGGTCCCAGTGTCCTTGAGGTGGAACAGGAATGGAACGTGAGGTGAAAGGCCCCTCCACCTGACCCTAGTCCTGGCTTCCATCGCGAATAGGGAGACGGAAGCCAGAGTAGCTGAAAATGCACTGCTTCCTTCACTTAATGCTGCACCAAATCAGCGTTTGAGGAAAGTGATTAAGTGAGGAAAAGTCTTGCTAGAGGGTGGGAGAAGTCTTAGGCAGAACCCTTCCTTAAGCCCCGGTCCGCGGCACCAAGTAGAGTCCTCTCAACCGCTAGAGGGTGCTGTGCACAGAGTCTTAGACTCTATGGTCTCTCTCATGCACTCCCATGAGGAAGTGCGACTAGGAACCGCCTATATACTTTCGTTTCCGGCCTAGGTTCTTCCTTTCCGTGCCATTAGCGCTCTAGCAAACATGGTAGGACTTTGGGGTTGGGACACTTAGTATCCAGTGTAATCTTCTCTCCACCGTAGATGGTGCCATCCGGGATGGATCCAGGCCCCTCCGTGGACTCGTTGTAGTAAAGAAACCCGGTGTTGCCGGGTTTGACCCAGAAGGGACCTGGCTTCGGGGCCAGGAATTGAGGTGGTGGGATCAGGCGTAGACATAACCGGGAGTGGAGCAAATACGCTCCTTTTCCACTTTGGGACTCGTCAGAGGCTGCAGTGCGTGAAGCACATGGGGCTGGACCACCTTCTAGTCAGAGAGTTAGCGAGGAATTTGAGAGTCGAGCCCTTGTGGGCTGCCTTAGTGTGAACTGGGTTGGCGCTGTGTTACTGGCATCTGATAAACACTGCACTTTCTGAACGGTTTATTTACTAGGTGAACGTTCCTAAAACCCGCCGGACTTTCTGTAAGAAGTGTGGCAAGCATCAGCCCCACAAAGTAACACAGTACAAGAAGGGCAAGGATTCTCTGTATGCACAGGGTAAGATGGTCCGTTGTATGGGATTTGAAGTTGGCATTTGTGGTAATAGTATAATACCCGAGCCCAGACCCCTGTCCTGCCCCTGCCATCTTCTTGCTTGGGTATTGATAGCCATTTCTGCTGGAAACCCCAAGATAAAAACTGTAAGAAAGTTTTTCTGGTGGTGGTTGTGATTTGTCATCTTTGGTGTACTGTACTAAATAACTTTACTTCTCCCAGGGAAGCGGCGTTATGACAGGAAGCAGAGTGGCTATGGTGGGCAGACTAAGCCGATTTTCCGGAAAAAGGTGGGTAGTAATTAATATTTGACATGTGTCCCAATGACTAGTAAAGATCTTGCCTTTGCTGTTAGCCCACACACCTGTACAATATAGGAATGTTTTCATAGTTGCAGCGAAGTTGTCTCAGTCATCTGCAGTGACATACCTAGTAGACAGTGGAGCTGGGAGTACATCAACCTAGGTCTGACTCTAGTCTACAATACTGCACCATTGCAATGTTTATATTTTTTATCTTCCCCTTTGTGAAAAGGCAAACATCAAGTTAAGGCATGTGCCCAGCCTTTCTGAGGATTGAAGTTTGAGTGCACAAGTATATTCTCTGCCGTTTCTGTCATGTCCTAGGGAATCCTCAGCTCTTCCTTGCAGTAAGAATTCTCTTAATTTTTGCGTATCCTCTCAGAAGCTGGCAGTGAGTCTGCTACCTATCTCATGAAGTCAAAGCTCTTTAAAGTAACCATTTAGGCCTTCCAGCACCCTCCTGAATTCTGTCATTTTCAGACTGAATGTGTATTTGTTTCTATCCCAGGTGATTTGGCTACTTACCTTAACGTACACAGTGCCTGCAACAGCATTCCCATGAAAACTGTTTCTTTTGGCACTTCACTCTTCATCTAGCTTGGTACTAGCAAGTCTTAAGGAGTGGCTTGAGTGTTCACTTATCATTCAGGTGCAATAAATGATTTAATCTCAAACTTATGAAAGGAGTGCTTGCCTTAAATCACATTCAAATAACTTGTTCAGAAAATGGGGAGTTTCCAGCTAGGTTTTGGTTTTTTTTGAGAACTGCAAACTAACAGCAGTAGAATTCTCCTAAGAACAGGCTTAAAGTTGTATTCATGGGGAGTGTACCTTGAGTTAAAGCAGGGGTGTCCAACCTTTTGGCATCTCTGGGGCACACATTAAATACACAAACATGAAAAGTTGAGCAAAAAAAAAAGGTTTTGGGTAAATTTACACTTTTGCATTGGGCCACAATCATAGCCATCCTGGGCTGTGGGTTGGATACCCCAAAATGTACTTAAATACACTTCTAGATGTAAGTGTAGGTAGACTCCAGAGAATTGATAGATCTTAAGTAACACTTGTTAAACCTATTTAATGAATTGTGAAAGTTGTGTTTACTTCATAGTGCATGGACTTGGATGACCCATTTTTAACTATGTAAAGCTGTTATACAGCCACAAGTTCAAGTGGTATGATGAGTACATGTCATAAGAATCCCTCTACGATGTTTGATGTGAGTGGAGAACTTGATGGCAATTAGATAACCTGACACCTTTGCTGTTACTGTGTTGGCCAAAAAGTTCATTTATTTTTTTCCATAAAATATAATACATGTTTTTCATTTTCACTAATAACTATTGACTTGGATATTTTGAGTATGTGGGCTATATCCCATGTGGTATAAAGTTGATTGTTCTGTGTCTCAATTTGATTGCTATCAACTTCAGATGGTTTACCTGACCAAAGAGCATCATCAGTGAGAAATCTCCAGCACAAAACTTTGCAAACCATTTGATATGTTTGGTCACAGCTGCTCAGATCTTTTTTTTGCATTTCAGTTGTGTTTTTACCTTTCTTGAAATAATAAAGCATAACATTCTAAAATGTGACCTATTTTCTTACATCTTCATTTTTAAAATGGCTACACAAAGATTCACTAATTTTGCTTTTTTAAATGCATGCTGATACAACAGCTGTGAAAATGCAATCAAGCAAAATTATTTCAAATGCAGTTAAAGGCAACTAAGTGTCACTAGAGCTATCTTATGGGAAAAAACCAAATGAACTTTTTTGCCAACTCAATATATTCTCTTTAAAGCCACTGGCGTTTTCACATTTCTGTTTTCTCTCTGTAGCTAATGACACATTGTCACGACTCTTATCATTTGCAACACTTTGCTTGAAGGTAGTACACGAGCCAATGTAGTTGTATTTTTGAAGAAAGATTTTTCTGCAGTGATTTATTAAAGGTATCATTTTTTTCCAGGCTAAAACTACGAAGAAGATTGTGCTGAGGCTTGAATGTGTTGAGCCCAACTGCAGATCTAAGAGAATGCTGGCTATTAAGAGATGCAAGCATTTTGAACTGGGAGGAGACAAGAAGAGAAAGGTATACAATTTAGGGTGGAAGGTTGAACATTTCTGCCCACTCATTTATTCTGGCATCAAGATCAGGGCTAGTCCTTTTAAAGTACTTGATTCTTGACTGCTGTGGCTCAGTGGACTTAGTTAGCCTGCAAACCAAAGTACTTGATCCATAGCTGAGGTGTAAGGTTTTGGTGGTATTCAGCACGAGTGGGAAAGAGAGAGTGAGACTTACCTTAATAAAGAATGGTGATCCCTGTAGGCATAGACACTGATGGAGTTAGAGGTTCTTTGCAAAGTGAAAAAACCTTTTTTTCTTTTCTGTTACAGGGCCAAGTGATCCAGTTCTAAGCTTCATTTTTTGTTTTATTATGTGACAATAAAATCATGAGGATATCTTCACTTCATGTGGTTGGCGTTGGTGTATTTGGGTGGAGATAAATTAGTGTCATACAAGGGGAAATTTATGCTTAGTGGTTCTTCTTGGGTGCTTTACTCCTTTTGAATTGAATCTGAATGGACTCACATGTGATGGTTTGTTTAGTTTGGCACTTTACTCACTCAGCGCTTCATGGGATACCTGTTACAAAGTCAGTGTTATTGCTTATCTTGGGATGTAAGTAGAGACCTGAAACTCTTACAGGGTGAGTTAAGTAACAATTACATCCATAGTGAATGTAAACTTTGCGAAGAGTGAAATAATTTGTCTCACATACCTCTGCAACTTCAGTCATTTAATGAGGAATTTCGGCCCTGTTCTCTAGGCACCATCATACTATGTATTACATGTCTTCAGACTTCTCATACCACCTGAACATTTTGACCCACCCCCTCGAGTTTAGTAGATAGAAATTTGTTTTATGAAAAGAATTTAATTTCTAGTGAATTAAAATTAATGGAATCTGGCAGTGCTAATACATTTGTTTAAAAGCCTAACAGTTTCAAGTTCACATCCCTTTTGTCTTCATATACTATTTTTTTAAGATTTAAAATGTCTCTAGAGAGGGAAAGAGACATCAATATGTGCTTGCTTCTCATGCACCCCCTACCATGGAACCTGGCCCACAACCCAGGCATGTGCCCTCACTAGGAACCAAACCAGCAACTCTTTGGTTCACAGGCCAATCTATTGACCCAGACCAGTGAGGGCTTGTTTTTGTATACTATTATATACACTCAGCTCTTCTTACTTATGCAGCAAGACTGGATGGTGAAGCAACTGCTATATTTGGTGAGTGAAAATGTCTCAGATGGAGAAGTCTGCTTCCAAATTTATGTGTCTGAGTGACTAAGTCTGGGTTCAATTGCAGACTTCAATTGAATTGCAATTTCTTTGCAATTTTTTATCAACTGACAATAATTAGTCTTTCAATTTTGTTGAAAATAACGTACTCATAACAAAGGAATTATTAAAACATACTTTGTATTTTGAGTGGGCCTTTTGTGCCCCCCTTTTTTTTTTTTAGGGAAATTTTACATGAAATAACAGCTGAAGTGGGGTAGTCACTCTGGCAACAAAATAAACATTTTTAAGGAAGCTTTTATTTTTTTTAAACCTCAATGGGGGGGCAATATTTATTGATTTTAGAGGAAAAGAGATAGATCAATTGCTCCTATAAGTGCCCCAACTGGGGATTAAACCTGCAGCCTTTTGATGTGTGGGATGATGCTCGCTCCAACTGAGTCACCCAACCAAGGGCTACTAAGGAGGTTTTTTAAATGTCTGGCTTCTATCTAGCAGAAGCAAAACAGTACCTGTGGGATTTATTCGAGTTTTTAAACAAGAAGTCCATTCATAAAACCCAAGCTTTGTCTTCGTAGGGAGGAGCTCTGTGATAAAACAGGCAGGATTGCAGGCCACTCCTTGACCCAGGGATGCAATGTTGACAGTATAAGAACGAGGTCCACCAATCTCCTGCAGGTTTACCATAGCCACAGCCCAGGCTAAGCTAGAGAGAGGGCGTTCCCACACCTCAAAGTTGTCTTCCTGAAAGGTAAGTCAAGAAAATAGGTGATAGCTTGGTAAGTAGCACTAAGCTCCCTGTGGCATTTAGTCTTGTCAGAACTAACACACCCTTACAGGAAAAATTAGTTGTCCTGTAGCATGTTTGGGTAATGATTCTAGCAAAAACCTTCATTACTGATTATATTAACCTTAAAAAGACATTCTCAAAAGACTAGTGCATATCTTCATATGTAACAGCTTTAGGCCCAAGACAGACTTGGAACTTGGGTATAAAGCCATCTTAAACACCAAAATAAATATTTGGATGAATTATAAATAGAAAGCAGGGGAACATGTTCCTGGCCAAGTCCACTTTTCACCCATACAACATTATTTACTATACCTTTCTAAGTAGGTATCCCTGTTTGCCCAAGGGGTCCTGGTTGATGGCAATTACATCCTTATTCTGAAGGAGCATTTTGGCTTGAAGGCTGATGTGTCGGAGGTCATTGGACATGAGTAATGGAGCTGCCATGATAGCCCAGAGAGCCATCTGAGTTATTTGCTGATCCCAGCTGAGGCCAAAGTTGCCAATCACTAACTGGGACAAAGAATGATGACAGAATTCAAATGAGAAAACAGAAGCCACCTTCCAGGGCACCCTGACATGCCTGCTCAAAGGAACTTTCCGATTTATCTTGAATGTCAAGTAGGAAACAGACCCACTGCAGGGGTATGAACACGGAGGGCTCAGATTCTTACCATATCTGGGTCATTCCAACCTCCTGGTCCTGCAGCACTAACAATTGTCTTTTGGTTAGAAGATGTCCACTCCAAAATATTCTTTACACTCTGCCAAGAGTCATAAACGTCTCCAGAATTTCTCCAGTGATTACAGTACTGTCGGATTTCTGTATAATTGGGCTGTGAAAACAGAGTTCACTCTTCCATTTATTTTCTACTAACATTCTTGCAAGAGGAAAACAGTCAAGTTTAAAGGAAGCACTTGTAACCTTCTCTTCAATTTACAGCTTAAAGATCTCTAGGAAGAGAGCTAAATCCTTACTGGAATGGAATTTCACTGTAAGAAGTTTGCTTCAGAAGTAGGCAATGTAACTTAAAACCCCTACTTAAAATGGCTTAAACAATGTTTATGCTGGAAATTTACCAAATGGTAAGTAGGTACTGGGATTATCGACTATTTAAAATTTTTTCACAACTCACTGTATTTTCAAACTAAAATGAACATCTATTGCTTTTATACTTAGAAAAAACAATCTTAATAAGTAAAAACAGCCGCAAAATTACATAGAACTCATCAAACATGGTAAGGGCCATCAGGGAACATGTATAAAGGACACATGGACAAAGTCAAAGGGGGTAGGGGAAAGGTAGGGATGGGTAGGGGTGGCATGGTGGAGTGAAAATGGAGACAACTGTACTTGAACAGTTTTTTAAAAAGCAACACTAATATTGGCACTAGTTTAAACTAATTGTGCATATTTGACAAGGACTCATGGATTCCTGTCAGATACAAAAGTAGAGAAGTCAGTTTCCTCCAAACCTGTGGCAATCCACAATTCAATAAAGACTTTCATGAATAATCATTTAAAAAGGCAATCTGAATCCCAGGCATATAATTTGTTAATGGAACAAATTAAAGTTTGTAAATCGGCACAAAGGATATCCAAGGTTTAAGACGGGTATCAAACTCATTTTCACCAGGGGCCACATTAGCCTCACGGTTGCCTTTGAAGGGCTGAATGTAATTTCAAGACTGTATAGATGTAACTACTGCTTAACTAGGGGCAAGGAGTTCAGTGCTGCTGCTGGGTAGAAACAAGGTGCGGGGCTGGATAAAACAAGATGGAGGGCCAGATTCAGCCTGCGGAACTTGTGTTTGCCACATGTGGTTTAAGATGTTGACAAACAGGTGAAAAGTATATTACAGAGTTTATTACAGAAGGAAATAACAGGAATTCATTCGATAATTATTCAATACTTACCATATACTAGGGATATACTGATAAAGTCAGACAGTCCCTGCCCTCCTGGACCTTACATTCTAGTACAGGAGACAGTCAACACATAATTCTATATAGTGCTAAGGGCTTAGATGGAAACTGAACAGGTTAATGTAGTCAAGAATGAATGGATAAGAGTACTACTTTAGAGTAGTTAGAGAACACCAGTCTAAGTATGAGGTACCTGGTCTGAGACCTCAATGTTAAGGAGCTGAGAAATTTGGGGGAAGACTGTATCAGGCAGAAAACAAAGACTAGGCCCTGGGGCAAAAATAGGCTTGGAGTGTTGGAGGGACAAAACAAGAAGAGTGCGGTGAGGGCAAGTGACCAGAAATGAGGTTGGAGAGGTAGGCTAGGGCGAGAACAGAAGAGTTTGACTATATTCCAAGTGCAAGGGGAAGCCAGTTAAATGTTTTAAGCAGGAGTGTGATATGATTCCAGTTACATTTTAACAAGAACACCTGGGTACTGGTTGGGAAATGGATGGGGGTAGGGAGAGAATGGAAATAGAGAGGTCAGGCTGTAGGGAGCAGTTTGGGTGTGAGATTATGGTAGCTAGAAAGACCAAGATGGATGCAGAGAGAAATGAGCTGATTCAGGATTTATTTTGTAGATAGTTCTGATAGGACTGCTGATAGATACATTGTGAACCTTGAGACAAAGGGAAGAATCAAAGATGACTGACTTCCCAAGTGGTGATAGCAGTGGGGATGGTAAGAAGTGGTTGGATCCAGGGAGTGATGGTAGGATGAGACTGTTAAGTGAAGTGGGACTTTGAAGGAGACCTTTGTTCTCAAGTCCTAAAAATCTATCATCAAGGTTCTATCAGATTCTGGACTCACTACCTCACCTTATGAAAGGGCCACATATAAAGGGGCCACTCACAGGAGTACACAATGCTTCTGCCAGTCTTGTTCAAGGCCAAGGACATGTGTTTATAACCTGTATAAGAAAACAATGGGTAAAATAAGGGGAGGAAAAGAATTTCCAGTGGTGGCTATATAGTTTAAAAAGAAGCTGCCTGGCCCTGGCTGGGTAGCTCAGTTGGTTAGAATGTAGTCCCCATATGTGAAGGTTATGAATTCCATCCTCATTCAAGGCACATTCAAAAATCAACCAATGAATACACAGATAAGTGAAACAAGAAATTGATTTTTCTCTCTCCCATCCTGTCTTTAGAATCAATCAAACAAAAGAGGCTATCTAGAAGGGCCATGATTATATTTTAAACCAGCAGCAGAGACAGGTGGCTGCTCTATGCTGAAGTTGTGTCTAAAACATCCGAGACTGCTGGGATTGTTCTGAGGATGCAGTATGGGATGATGCATATATTGAGAAAAGGCAGGCATGAAGATGCCCCTTTTCTGATACTGCATGACATTCTGATGCTTTCCCAAATGATGTTATGGAGAGTTAGAATTCCTATTTGTAATGAACTCAGAGCCCTCAAATTAAAAGTGTACAATATCAGCCATAGTTAGGCAAGCATGGATTTTACACTGCATGAATGAATGAATGCATGGACAAACTGAAAGAAGAGAAGAGGTAGAAGCTCTGGCACATTGAGAATAATTATTTCCAGTATTGTGACTGGGTACTTAAAATGGGAAGATTAGTTCTGTGGATGCCCAGTTACCTTGGCCTCCAAGTTCTTCTCTTTGCTCATGGCTAAATCTCTTGAATGAAACATACCATCTGCCAACTGTTCCACACTGTCACAGTAACAACCATCAAATTTTAGCAGATCTACTCCCCAGTCAGCAAAGGTCTCGGCATCAATGTCATAGTATCCAAAACTCCCAGGGAAGCCTGCACAGGTTTTTTTCCCAACATCTGCGTAAATCCCCAGTTTCAGTCCTTTGCTATGGACCTGAAAAGAGAGGAAAGAGTTACCACAATAGAAGGGCAATCATGAAACAGAGAGAACCACTCCAGTCTGTAAGAAGAGACACATACACTTCACCAGGTATCAGGGGCATTTTTTTTTTCACAAGCTTCCCAAATTATCCAGATGAGTTTGCTAGGAGACAAAGAGTAAATTCTCCAATTCTCCTGAGTTCAAACTACGCATACAAGCTATAGCACAGAACTGAAGAGAAAGCTATCAGCCACTCTAATCTTCCTCTGCTGGCTACCTAAAAGTTACCTTTCTAGGGCAATGATAGATTTATCTGGACATACTCTCCTTGACCAAACATTAGTTAGGCTCCTCTGAGTCCTCTTGTTAAGTAGGCCTCAACCTTGGCCTTCAGTGTCCACTTAGCAAGAATCCTACTGAGTCTTCCTCCCATTCTCCATACTTGATCAAATTCCTTATCTCCCACCTGTGATGTCTAAGTCCTTAGCCTATCTTTGGCAAGAATACTCCTTCCCTTGATGTCTCCCCTTAGTAATTTTCCATTCACTGACCCTCCCAATCTGCTCATTCACTATAAATCCCCACTCTTTGTTATTTTCAGAATTGAGCTTGGTTCCTCTTATTGCAGCAATACTAAATAAAATTACTTCATTGCCTTTAATTAATGTTTGGCTCTATTACTTTCTAACAATCTCCAGCAAGAATCCCTCCTATCTTCTAAAATTCTAGTTTATAGTACAATTGTAATACTGTTCAAAGCTTATATGGGAACATATGCACACATGTCAAAAAACAAGCTCCTTTTTATTCCCAGAGAATTCAGTTGTTTCAGCAAAAGGAGAACTTATCTAAGATGGACCTGAAGAACTAATGCAAAACAGGTATCTGCTGATGGGATGAAAATTCCATCTGATAAGCCTTATAATTCAATATTCAGATAATGGCACCTTGAGCAAGCTTCCATACAGAAGTGTTTAGTCTCCTGAATGAAAAGGAAAATTATCCATAAACTCACATAGTTAGCTAGGTGGTGGATCCCACTAGGAAAGCGTATAGGGTCTGCCTGAAGTCTGCCTTTTGAGTCTCTTTGGGCAGCCATCCAACAGTCATCAATGCAGAGGTACTCATACCCTACTTCCTTCCAGCCATCTGAGTCCATGAGATCTGCCATTTGCATGAAGAGTTTCTCACTGAAAGACAAATCCCAAGAATCATTACAATTCATTAAACAAGTGATTGAGTACCTCCTATTTGTTAGGCACCTTAGGATTTCCAATTTCTTTCAACCCAGTAATAGTCGGGTAGTAATCACAACCAACTCGAGTTAAAATGGACTGGGCCCTTTTTGTTCTCCTTCCCCTCCACTCTTGATATTTCTACCCTAAGATGCCTGAACAATTATAACAGAAATAAGAAATGCATGAAATTGAAAAGGCTATTAGAACTATGAAGAAAGTTCAGTTAAGTTAGAAACTACACAGTTAACATAATCAACAGCTTCCTTAGTTTATATCAACTTCCTTTCTCCTTAGGTTATATCAACAATAACCTAGTTGGAGAAAAAGATACCATTAACAAGAGCAACCAAAAAAAAAGCAACAGGAAAAACCTAAAATACCTAGAGATAAATTTAAGATATTATTTTGCTCCTGGTTAAGAAAACTCAATGTTAAAAAGAAGCTAATTCTCCCTACACACCTTTATGCATTTAATAAAACCCTGAACAAATCCCAAAAGGACTTTTTATGGAACTTGGCAACATGATTGGAAAGGTTCACCTAAAACATGTGATCATTCTCCAAAAGATAAATGAAGCTGCTGTAGTACCAGTAGCATTAGAATACATAGATCAATGGAATTAAAGAGAAAGTTCAGAAAGAGATCCTTCCAGCCATTTGGTACCATGGAATTTACTTAATATTAAATGTGGCATTCTTTATAGGAGAATAATGGCCAGATGAATTAAAGATTTAAACATTTAAAAAATCCATAAACATACTAGTAGAAAATATAGGTGACTATATTATCTTCAGGCAGGAAAGGACTTTTTCAGATAAAGGAAAAAATGATATTTGATATATAAATATCAAAACCAACACATAGCAAGAACCACCATATTCACAACATATGGTAGACAAGAAAAAATACTACCCAAAAAGCAAGCAACCCCCAAAACAAACAAAAAAAAATTCCCATTGAAAAATAGGGAAATAACACAAACAGGCAACCCATAAAAGAAACCATGTAAAGAGCCAATTTAACAAATGGAAATAAAAACACCTACCAGATTGGGCAGGGGTGGTGGGGGGAAAAAAAACAAAACACCTACCAGACTGGCAAATTTTTTTTATTGTTGTTCAAGGACAGTTGTCTCCATTTCCTCCCCACACTCCTTACCACCCCAGCCACCCCCACAGACTGGCAAAGTTTTAAAAGAATGATCAAAATGCAGTGTTGGCCAGGGTGTGGGGAAACAGGCATTCTCATATACTGTATTTGGGAATGTGCATTTGTAAAACTTTTTGGGAGGACAGTTGAATATGTCACAAAATGAGCATTTGGACCCAGTAATTAGACTTTTAAGGACAGAATCAGGTGATGTAGAGTGATGTATAGTTTTGTTCATAACAATGAAAAGTTGAAGAGCCTTAATAGCTAGCAACAGGAATTTGCTTTAAAAATTATGGTATATATGCCCTGGCTGCTGTAGCTCAGTGGACTGAGCAAGGGCCTGTGAAGCAAAGGGTCACTGGTTTGATTCCCAGTCAGGGCACATGCCTGGGTTGCAGGCCAGGTCCCTAGTATGGGACACATGGGAGGCAACCACACATTGATGTTTCTCTCCCACTCTTTCTCCTTCCCTTCCCCTCTCTCTAAAAATAAATAAATAAAAATAAATACATAAATTATGGTATATACATGCCCTGGCTGGTATGGCTCAGTGGATTGAGTGAGGGCCTATGAGCCAGAGGGTCGCAGTTCGATTCCCAGTCAGGGCACATGCCTGGGTTGCAGGTCAGTTCCCAGCACGGGATGCACGAGAGGCAAACATACATTGATGTTTCTCTCCCTCTCTCCTTCCCTTACTCTCTAAAGATAAATAAATAAAATCTCAAAAAATTATGGTATATACATACAATTTGCATTTATGAAGCTCTTATTCTGTGCCAGGTACTCTGCTTACATTTAGGAAGGGTAATTAATTTGCCTAAGGTCACAGGCCTAAGTAACTATGAGCTACAATTTGAACACAGGCAGGCAAAGTTCACCTTTGTTAACAATTCACAACATAAACATGATCTCATTTTTATTGAATATAATGAAAGAAGAAATTTGTGTTATTTACTAGAAAACTATTCCAAGGCTGTATATTAACATTTTAACCATGATTATTTCTGAGTGGTAGAATGAGGGGAATCATTATTTTCATTATATTCTTCTTTACTATCTACATTTTTTGCACTGATCATGTATTAGTTTTAAAATCAGTTATAAAAATTAAGACAACTACCACTTAGAAAAAAATTAAAAGGTGAAAAAATATATGTGATGGGCACAATTGCCACAAAGTTTACCCCAGGTCACTATGGACTTACACTGAAACTTAGAAGGGCAATTAATTCTGTGGTGTTTGATCAACATCCTGACTTTATCTGTAAAGCTGTAGACATTCATAGGAATAACTATGGGCACTGGCATATACTATAACCACTGCTTTTAGAAGGGCCTCTGTACCATATGTGTCTTTATTATGTTTAAGAACTATTTTGTTATTAACCAGTGTCACACCAAGAAACGATAAAAAAAAAAAAAGAAAAAAGAACTCAATATGACGGATGGGTACTAGACTTATCAGAGTGATCGCTTTGTAAGTTATATAAATGTCTAATCACTATGTTTTACATTTGAAACTAATATAATATTGTATGTTAACTATAATTGAAAGTTTAAAAAAATTACAAACATTTTTTTACAGATCCTTTTGAGTCAATTCCCTGAGGTAAGAGTTGTTACTGCCAGTCCTGGGCAGGTAGCTCAGTTGGTTGGAGCATTTCCCCATATGCCAAGGTTGCAGGTTCAATTCCTGGTCAGGGCACGTATAGGAGTTAACCAATGAATGCATGAATGAGTAAAGCAGTGGATCAATGTTTCTCTTTTTCTTTCTCTCACTAAAAATCAAGAAATTAAACAGAGTGTTATTCCCAATTTACAGACACAGAATGTGTGGATCAGATAATTTCAATACCTGCCTTATTCAGCCTAGTTGGGGAAGGTCATCGATAAGACATTGACCCTCCCAGTGGATATGGAAAACTGGAAGCTCCTCACCCCTACCCCTGTCCTTGGAATGTGCATTCTGCATGCCTTCCTCTTCCAAAAAGCTGCCCCTAGGATGCAGCCTACAGGTAGGAATGTGTTGATACTATAAGGGCAGTACACATGCAGACCTTGCACTGTTACACTTCACTTTATTGTGAGTCACAGATGTTGCGTTCTTCTTCTTCTTTTTTTTTTTTAAACAAATCAGAGGCAAGACTTTCGACCAACAAAAAGAGTGACTCACTTGATTGTGGTGGTCTGGATCCAAACTTTCTATATCTGAGGTATGCCTGTATGTGACTGAACCCAGCTAAGGCCTCTGTACAAACTTTTATTTGGCTGGCAGGTGTGGAAAACTTATACCTCTTGCAGCCTCACAAGACAATCTGCCTAAGTAAATTCCCTTCCTGATTAAAACTGCTACCAACTGCCCTGGATGGTGTGGTTTAGTGGATTGAGAGCCAGCCTGTGACCGGCCAGGTCCCCAGTAGTGGGCACACAAGAGGCAACCATGCACTGATGTTTCTCCCCCTCTCTTTCTCTCTCCCTTCCCCTCTCTAAAATAAAGAAATAAAATCTTAAAAAAAAAAACCCTGCTACCTACTAATTTGGAGTGCTCTGCCACTTCCTTAGGTTTCTCCCTGCCCTCCTCTACTGGGGTGGTTTCAGATTACACTTAAGGATGGTTCTGGCCAGTTTGCAAACCAACAAGCCTTAAGCCTTGACTTCCATATACAGGCATACCTCGGAGATATTGCGTGTTTGGTTCCAGAACACAGCAAATAAAGCAAGTCCTAATCTTTTTGCTGGTGGAGGGTCTGCCCTTCAATTTGGTAAAAAAAAAAAAAAAAAATCTGTGAAGCACAATAAGGAGAGGTATGCCTGTATAAAGTTCCTCTAGGTCAACCCTTTAGGCAGACGCCACACTCAAGAGCAAGAGGGTGAGGAAATCGCAGAGACTCCATGGTCTACTAAACTCCCTCACATTAGTCAAGGAACCCTGTGACCCAAAAGAATAGTCTTGTCTCTCCTACTCACTGCAGCTGTGCTCGCTGCTAGAACAAGCAGAGGCAGAGGAGCAGCTGACGAGACGGTTCTGACCTGGACTGGATAGTAAGTGGAGAAAGTCCCTAGCTAGGTAATCCAGTGGAGACCGAGAAGCCGGAAGCAGGGCCCGCTGGATGGACTTCCATCCCAGAAGGTGTCATACAGAGAAAATTTAGGGCTAGTCCCCATTGGGGAAAGTATGCTGGGAATTAAAAAGCAGCAGTAGTAGGAAGATCTCCCTCAGCCTCAAATGTTCCCGCTGAGACCCTCTACCCCTCCAAACACAGGGAAAGGTGAATGGAAGGGGTACCCAATGTCTCCGATACCTGATACAGGAATCCGGCTCTTCTTTGCAGTCAGTGTTGCACATGAAACGCTCCCAGTGAAGCCAGCCCATGGTAGGGGTCATTGCCAAGCCATTGTCCAGGGCCCAGGCCCCAGGAATGTCCCAGAGAACCAGGGCCAGGAAACAAAGTGCCAGCACGCAGCCTAGACGCTGCACGCTGCTTGTCAGCCTCATTGTCAAGTAACCATACATAACAAATTTCCCTGGTAAACAGGGTTTTTAAATTTAACCTTAATTACTGGAGTTACGTAATGACGTTCTTTCTCAGGTAACTGGGACGGTTATCCCCAGAGGCAGACCAATGATCAGTCACGTAAGACGCACCTCAGCCAATCACACTCTTTCTTTCTTGACAGGGCCTGCCCTATTTTCCATACCGGAAGGAGGTGTGATACTTCGGTGTTCCCGAGTTTAAGCCAAGAGTTGTTCACGTGACTGACATCTCACATGACGTAGCTGCTCACGTGACCACTCGCTTACGTGAGCAGAAGTAGTTCTGGTCGTCGTTTACCGTCTTGCTTTAGCCGTTTGTGGGAAGAAGGAGGGACATCATCCGGCACCGTTAGAGGTTGGTGTGTAGGTGGGAACTGGGGACCTAGGGGTGGTGATGATGAAGATGAAAGTGGGGTCCGTGGGCCGCTTTCGCTTTTCTCGCTCCTCGCTTTTTCCCCTTCCCCGCCCCCCCCACTCCCCCATCTCAGTGCCGGGAAGCCGCGTTTGCTGCGCCTGGTGGGGAAATGGTGGACGTTCGTGACTGTGTATGGTTTTCGTGTATCTCTGTCTGGGTGGGCCTCAGGAGACCCTTAAGAGACAGCCTAAGGCGAAAAACGTTTAAAAACCACGTCCGTGGATTAGGAAAAACATGTTGAGACCAGTGGTCTTGAGTGCTGGTCCATCCTTTCAGGTACTGTCTCCACTGCCTGATTGTCTGCCTGTAGGGAGAGGCACCAAGTCAATTTTATATGTAAAATCACATGTAGGTAAATGTTACATGCCTGTCGGAGGTGCCCGATAAATATTTTTACTGAGATGAATATTTAAATAGCATTTTTCTACTTATAACAGCAGTTTATTGGTTCAGTTTGGAACATTCAAAAAATAACAGCATTCTGTGTTTTAAAAAAATATAGCCATAATTAGTCACCCAGAAGTAACTACTCAGCATTATGGTGTATAAAAAGTATCTGTATAATACGCATATAAGTAGACAAATACTTAATACGCAAATGGAATCCTGGTTCCTACTTCAGCCAGCAGAGAGAAGTGGCCTTCTCAGGAGATACAGTAATGAAGCAGAACTTCCCTGCCACTACAGAGAGGATGTTAAGGCCCAGAGTGCTGCAGGGACATTAAATGAGGTGGGAATTGAGTCCTCTGTCGTTTTATGGCAGTTAGTACACTTTGTGCTTTCTAAGGGTCAAATAAGCCACCCACCTACCAAATTAGAAACCTTTATAAAATTTGCTATAGCAAACCCTAAGAAAGCAAACATTTTAATTTGTGTGTTATTTTTGCTGAAGTAAAATTAATTACTCTGTACAAATTACTCCGTACAAAATTAAGAATGCTCCAAAAGTTTTTTTAAAAATTGAAAAAGCATAAACCTACTAGTGCGAAACCACTATTAACATTTGACACATTCCCCATGCCTATATTTTTCCTAACATTGTATTTTAAATTCCAGTTGCAGTGATTTTTAAAAATTAAACCTATATAGTAGTATATAGGGTAAAAAGTGAAAATCCACTTCACTCTTTGGATTTTCCGGTTGTTTTCTCAAAAAAAAAATTGTATTATATGCTACCAGATCTTACTATACGCATTTGCAAACATGTGTACATGGATGCTGGTGTATAAGTAGGATCATACTATACATATTTTTTCATTTAATATGTTATGGAAATCCTAGGTTAGTGTATATCTTTTTAAAAAGCTTTGTAGTTCTCCATTTTAAGGGTAAAGTATAATTCGTTCAGCTATCCCCCTATTGATGGATAGTTAGGTTTCTAGTTTTTTACAATTGCTAACAGTGCTGCAGTGAACATTTGTGAGTGTTTCAGTTGACCAGGTTCTGGAAGGACTTCCAGCAGGGTTAAAGAATATATGTTTCTCACATAGTTGAGATTATAAAGTAGCTGTGATCTTGGATCACTTAAGGTTATAGGCATAAGTAATTTCTCATGTTATTAAATATTTTTATAACTTAAAAAAATTAAGTGGGTAATATTTTTAATTTTTTTATCCCCACCCAAGGACATTTTTTTCAATGCTTTTAGAGAGAGAGGAAGTGAGAGAGAGAGAAAGAGAGAGAGAGAGTTAGAGAGATAGAGAAAGAGAAACATCGATGTGAGAGAGAAACATTGATTGGTTGCCTCCTGTATGCTCTGGGACCAGGGATCATACGAGCCTGGACCAGAGACTGAACCCACAACGTAGGTATGTACACTGACCAGAAATCAAACCTGCAACTTTTGGGTGTATGGGACAGTGCTCCAAGTAACTGAGCTATACCGGCCAGGGTTTTGTCTTTAATAAAATACCTTTCAATGAGTATATAGCTCCATAAATCTTTGTCTGAATTTCATATCATTTCCTTAGGGCACATAAACTGAAGTTGATTTACTGTATCAAAAGGCATGATACATATTTCCAAATTGCTTTTCAGAAATACTGTACCAACTTTCATCTGGGTTTGTGTTAGTTTGTGAACCCTGAATATAAGCATTTATTTATCCTCACTGTTTATTTTTCACTGTCTTGACAGGTGAAAAGTGGCAGTTCTGGTTTTAACATGCATTTCTGGTGGTTGATGAGGTTTGAACGTTTCCCAGACTCCTCTCCTGTATCTGCATATATCTATTCCCCTGTATGTTACCAAGTCCCACAGTCCACTGTTTAGAATGCCTAGATAACATCTTTCCTCCTTTTAAAAAACTGTTGTTGCCTTAGGTAAGGGGTATCAGACTCATTTTCACCAGGGGCCACATCAGCCTTGTGTTTGCCTTCAAAGGGCCAAATGCAAGTTTAGGACTATACAAATGTAAATACTCCTTAACAGTTAAGCGAGAGCTCCACAAAGCTGCAGGGTAGAAACAAGGTGCAGCCAGATAAAACGAGGTAGAAGGCTGGATTTGGCCTTCGGGCTTAGTGTTTGCCACTTGTGCCTTAGGTGAATCCTTAACATATCTCTAGGGGATCAGGGTTCTAAATGATCCTGCTAGGGTCACCTCTACCCCCTCTATTTGAGTGCCACACTGTTGCCACGGTGATGTATCTGAAAGGCTTCTGAAGATGTCAGTTTCCTCCCTTCACTCCAGGTAGCTCCCTTGTTAAAGGCCCTTAGGGTTTGTCTATCAGATCAGGCCTTTGGGATCTGATCTTTATCTTGCTAGCCTTATCTCCTGCCTTGCCTCTTGCTATTTTGTATTCTATCATACTTTTAAAATATTGTGGACCCTTGAACCAGTTAGTCTGTTTCATTTAACCATTCTGTGCCAGCTGATAGAATTGACCAGCCATGCCCTGCTTTAATACCACCCTTTCAACCTACACAGAGTTCTGTCATAGCAGAGACAATGTTTACTTGCCCTTTTGTTTTTAGTAAAGAAATATAGTATTCCCATAGGACCATAAGTCCTTTGTGGGTTTATTGATCCTTGTATGCCAGAGCCAAATACTGGACCTGGCAACTGAAAAATGTAAAATGAATGCATGAATTCCCCACAATGTCTTTTTTTTTATTCTTAGGTCTTAATGTTCCCCTGATTTTAATAACTTACATGAGTTCTTTATGTAAGGGTATTAATGCATTTGTTACAGGTATCTTCTCAAGTGTGTTATTTGTCTTCTGTTTAGTATTTTGATGTAATGACATTTTTATGTAATCATACATAGCCATTTTTTATTTTGTTGCCATCTTCTACTGAGTGTGTTGATGTTAATTTTTACTGTTTTATCTTTTGACTATGGTGTTATAATAATATATGGTCAATGTAGAAATCTTAGAACATATTGGAATTTCCAAAGAAAACATTCCCTGAAACAAAAAGCTTCCATAATTCTACCACCCAGAAATAACCACTGTTAATGATATCCAACACATAATAGGTACCAAGTAAATAATTGTTAATGAATTAGAAATTTTTGCAGTCTTTTTGTTTATATGAATGCCTTACCAAAAAAAAAGCTATTAGTGTATTTGAATTTTGTATTAACAGTTTGCTTTTTTTCCTCTTACTATATTGTGAACATTGTTCCATGATAATAGTGTTCTCATTTTTTTTTCAGCTACACTGTATTTGCTTTGAGCCGAGCTTGCCACCAAGAGCCTACAGTCACCATGATGCTGGGCACAGAAGGCAGGGAGGGTTTCGTGGTGAAGGTCAGGGGCCTACCCTGGTCCTGCTCTGCTGATGAAGTGATGCGCTTCTTCTCTGATTGCAAAATCCAGAATGGCACATCAGGTATCCGTTTCATCTACACCAGAGAAGGCAGACCAAGTGGTGAAGCATTTGTCGAACTTGAATCAGAAGATGAAGTGAAATTGGCTTTGAAGAAGGACAGAGAAACCATGGGACACAGATATGTTGAAGTATTCAAGTCCAATAGTGTTGAAATGGATTGGGTATTGAAGCATACAGGTCCGAATAGTCCTGATACTGCCAATGATGGCTTCGTCCGTCTTCGAGGACTCCCGTTTGGCTGTAGCAAGGAGGAGATTGTTCAGTTTTTTTCAGGGCTGGAAATTGTGCCAAATGGTATGACACTACCAGTGGACTTTCAGGGGCGGAGCACAGGGGAGGCCTTTGTGCAGTTTGCTTCACAGGAGATAGCTGAAAAGGCCTTAAAGAAACACAAGGAAAGAATAGGGCACAGGTACATTGAAATCTTTAAGAGTAGCCGAGCTGAAGTCCGAACCCACTATGACCCCCCTCGAAAGCTCATGGCTATGCAACGACCAGGTCCCTATGATAGGCCAGGGGCTGGCAGAGGGTATAATAGTATTGGAAGAGGGACTGGGTTTGAAAGGATGAGGCGGGGTGCGTATGGTGGAGGGTATGGAGGGTATGATGATTATGGTGGTTATAATGATGGCTATGGCTTTGGGTCTGATAGATTTGGAAGAGATCTCAATTACTGTTTTTCAGGAATGTCTGATCATAGATACGGAGATGGTGGGTCCAGTTTCCAAAGCACCACAGGGCACTGTGTACACATGAGGGGATTACCTTACAGAGCTACCGAAAATGATATTTACAATTTTTTCTCACCTCTTAACCCCATGAGAGTACACATTGA